TTTTATATATATATTCCATAGTCTTGTTTGTACTCAAAAATCCTGATATGTATCAGGTGAATAATGGCATACACAAATTAAGTACTAGGTGGCATAATAAACTACATGTTTCCTTTGTGAGATTATCTTCCATTGAAAAGAGTGTGCATTTTTCATCCATTAGAATATTTAATAACTTGCCATACAATATATATTGTTTAAAAGACAATATTAATACTTTTAAACAAAGGCTAAAAGATTATCTTATTTTAAATGCATTTTATTCGGTAGATGAATACATGGCATACAGGCAAGCATAATACATTATTGTTGTCTTTCCAAGATTATGTACTATCTAGATTTGTTATATGACTGCTTTTTATTTTATTATTGTATTTTTCATTTTATAATTCTTGAATATTTTAATTGTTGAGACTAGATTGCATTTTGCAATGTCATTTTGCTGACGAATTCAATATCCGGTCCGGTTTCTGGACAATGGATCTGTGAAATTATGTATGTATGTATGTTAAGAATTGCTGTGGTGCCTGACCCAGTGGCTTTCTGTTCATTGGCTACTAAGGTCTCTTTCTTTGTTGGGAAAGGTGGCCAGAAATGATTGCTCATCTTGTTCATTTAAGGCTTTCCTAGAGTCATGTTATAAAAGTTCTGAATTTTGTATTTATACTATGATATTTAATTTATAAACTTGCATGTGCTGAAGATGACTGACAACTATTTGTGCTCTTCAATTGTGGTCTTCGGTTGTGACACTGTGTATTCCTGTAGGTGGATACTAACGTTTTGGAGGAATTGAACCATGAAAATAGAGATGGGATGTTCGTGTGAAATGTCAGTATCCACCTACAAGGCCACAATTGGAACAATCACTGAGAAACTCTCAGAACCTCTGGTGGGTTGTAAACATCTGCAGATATGTGTATGAGGTTCTGTAGTGATACTTTTTAATGCTGTATTCCAGGGTAGAGGTCAGTGTAATCCAAGTACAGACACATATGCGTGCGCGCACACACACGCACAAGGCAGACTTTTATTTGTAAAGGATTATGCAGAGATTTTAATATGTGACGTGTTAAGAAAAATATGATACAATAGGTGTGGATTATTGAATTTCATAAGGAAAATTAGTATATCTCTAAACATCAATTCTCATTCTAATATGCTGCAGTTTTCTATAAGGTGAAGCCTGCAGACATGAGGGAGAGATAAAATTTTTGAACTGAAAGATAAGAAAGACGAAGCAGAGGTCCATTTTGAGGTAGCATACTAATACTGGGATTTATGCAGGAGGAACATGGGAATTCATGGAAAACCCCATTCTGTGTAATTAAACTCGCATGTTAAATTTTGTCATGAATATAATGTAGCTATATTTCAAAGCTACTTGATTGGTGCAGTGTGGTATGTGTTTTCATTTTATTATATAGGGTCTCAGCTCCTTTTCCTTTGGGCTTCATGTTTCAAAATTGTTCCATGACTCCTATGTTTGGTTAGCCCTAGAAGCACAGCTTGCAGCCAGCCAGTCTGAACAACAGGCAGTATTGGAACGCTGCTATGCCAGCTCTGCTGAGAATGAAAACCTACGTAAAACAATTGCTGATCTCCGGCGACGGTTGGAAGAAAGCCAGGCAGCTTTGCATGAACTTGGGCGGGAAAATCAAACGCTTCAGGTAAATATTTTGTGGTATATTCTTAAAGTTTTTGCACTGAAGATATATTTGATAACAATATTGATATTTCATATGTATTGTTTATGTATGTTTTGTTCCTTTTAAATTTGGGATGAACGGTCAGAACTGTGACTTACATATGCTATATATTAAACATATCATAAGTAAAATTTAGCCATGTTTCAGAACAGATAGTAGTTGTTATGTTAATATTGTTAAGACTTGGCAGTGCACCAGTGAATCACTCTGAAAGTATACAGAAGGAAGAATGATTCATCAGTTGTCCTCACATTCGTTCTAGTATGCAGACAGGAGGGTGAATGACAGTTGCCTAATATGAAGCACTGTCATATGGTGAGAGGTAAACCAATAAGTCTGTCTTTGATACTGATACTGTTATTACTTTTGATACTTTTACTGTCCATTTTCTGTCATATTTTTCGCAATTTAATTTTTTTGGGTGGTGGGTGAAACTGAAGTAATTTATGTCTTTGCTTAGATTAGGTAGATTTAAAGCAGCAGGTGTTAAACAACCCTTACACTATGACTAATATTCAGTTTATTGTCTGTCCCCTTTCTTGCAGTTCTAGCCCTCCAGCAATTTTATACGTCATGAAATGCTGTATCTTGCCTTATGGGACATTATGGTCGTGACTTGGTTTCATGGAGAATGCCACCAGTTGACAAATCTTAATGTAGGTTACATCTCACAGTCTGTTAGAATGTGTAAGGATGTTTATTCTGTGTCATGACACCTTCTAGTCATGGGACTATTTGCTGGTCACAGTTTGAAGATTGATTAGATGCTCATTCAAGGGACAGTGTCATGTATAAGTGACGTTACTTCTCTGAACTTGTTCCTACTCAGTTCCAGTAGTTCCTGAAGGTAACCCTTTCGTCCATGATGAACTCCCAGGATGCCTGGTGTTTTCTATTCTTCCCATCCCTGATGATCCTCTTAGTAACCTTTTCTGAGATCCCATAGGCTAGGTTAGGTCCTACAAGTGGATGTTTGAAACCTGTTTTTCTCAGTTGATTGGCAGTATTGGTCCTTTCAATCCCTTTTGTTGCCTGTTGCCCATATCAGTTGCGCTATCTTTTATTTAGCCAGTTTCATGAGGGATTTATGGCAGTCCCATACGTACTTCAAGTTGATCTGGTATAAATGCAGCTACGCTCTGTGATAAGATATATGTTTTTGTAGTGTTTACCTGTATTTTCCATTGTATATGCCTTAGTGGCACACACTTTAGCCTGGAATATTGTGGTGTGTTACTAAAGGTTGTAGCTAAGCTTCTTCCTTGTGACATATGCATACACGTCACAAGTGCCTTCGTTTGCTTTGGACCAATCTGTATACCAGTTCAGTCTGAAATCCACTCTCCAGCTCACTTCTGTCAGGAAATTGGACCATAAATGGTTTGTTAAATACATATTTTTCTTTTTCATTTTATCAACCACCATTTGTAAGATATGTTCCTTCTTCAAGTCCTAAAACATGTTAGCATGTCTTTCCCAGAAAGAATTGTGCTTCCATTGGTTACTACAATTGAGTTTGTAAATTCCTGTCAAAATCTTGGCTCCAGCATCAAATGTAGAAGAGGTTGTCCCAGGAGAACTTGAAATCTAACTGTAGGAGTCATTTTTATAGCTCCAGGTGTACCAGATTGACTGACCTTTGCAGTTTGTAGAGTTCAGGTTTACAATTTTCCAGATGACCCTAGACCACCACAGTATGGCAGCATAAGTAGGTACAGGTCTTACTACCATGGTCCATATCCAATATAGCTCCTTTGGTTTCAGTCCCTATGTTTTCCCTGAGGTGCTTCTACAGGTTCAGACTGGGGTTTGGGCTCTGTTTCTGATTGTATCCACCTGTGTCTTCTGTGGGAGTCAGTCCTTTGCCCAAGTTAGTCTAAGGTTTTGACTGCTGTTTACAGAGGAATATTTTTACCGAAGAGAGTTGTTCTGGAAGTCCCCTTTTATCTCCTACATATTCATCACCAGACTCACAACGGAGGCAATGGATGTGACATATATTTACACCAATTTTTATTTTATTGAAATATTTGTTCTGGTAAAGTTGTGATGCCTACTAGAGTGCACTGCCATAGCCGTTCATTGTATAATCATTCTGGCGTGTTCAGAAACGAAACTACTAATGCATTATGCCTTTTATTTGAAATGTAGCTTGAACTGGAAAAGTTGTTGGGTCGTAAGTGGACAGAGGACTCTGATGTTATTAGCTGCAGCCTTTGCCAGAAGGAGTTCTCGCTTATTGTAAGGAAGCATCACTGCCGTAACTGTGGACAGATTTTCTGCAATGAGTGTTCATCCAAGATGGCACCCATTACAAGCAACAAGAAGCCCGTCCGAGTGTGTGACTCTTGTTACAATGAGTTAGGTAGCAAATAGTGTAGTGACTCATGCTCAGAACTATGGCTCTTTAACATTTATTTCAGTGCCTCTTGCTGAGAAAAACATTTTTTTTGTGACTGAAAGTTAGAGATTACTCCTCAGAATTAAATTTTGAGAAGAATGAATCACTCTTTTCATGTTGTGTCAGCCATTGGATTGACACATGATGACCTTTTCAGAAGATGCTGAATGTGCCAGAATGTGTTTGCTGCTATATCATCAGAAATATTACTTATACCCTTGCATAAAAATAGTGTGCCAAACGGTATATTTTGAGATACAGTCCCTAAGGGATGTGAATAGTATGAATAAATGAATGGATGTGTGAGATGCAAAGATTACCATATACAAAGTTCTTTTTATTTGTTTTTATAGTTTATACCTGTTTGACATAAATTCTGATGTTAATGTTGATTGTAACATTTGAGAAAGTATTGTAAGTTCATTTTGTACATGTTCATTTGTGTTCTCTTTATTATATTCTTCATTATCTGTTTATATCTTTTAAATATTGATAGGCAGTTTTTTTTGTTTGCGTTACATTTTCAGCATATTCTATTATTGGTGTTTAAAACTGGAAATCAGAAGGTGCCAAATATTTTGTAGTTATTTTGAATAATCTACACAACTTTATAAAAAGGCAGCTGTACTCGTATTACTGAGCAATCTAGAAAGATTGGGAATTCTTGTGGTCTGTATCTCTGCAAGAATATAAGATTTGAGATTATCACTATAGTGAAGATTCATGTCTGGTCAGAGCAAGCTGTAAGGATGCTGACTCATCTTAGGACACATTCAACCAGTATTACAAATGAGTACTTAGCATTCTTGCTTCGTATTCATGAGTCACCTGGTTTGAATTTTGGCCAGGCTACTGGCTGTCCCAATTAAGATTTGCTATGATTTCCTTAATCCCTCCAGGTAAATGAAGGAATAGTACTTTCATCTGTGTCATAATGACTGCCTTCTAAATCCTTTATTGTTCATTATTAATGATTATCTTTCCATCTTATTTAGCGTTATTAAACCCCTGCAGTTCAAACAGCATTGTTAATTACTAGAAACAGTGAATAGGACATGCACTGCAGCTATTGTGACACTGGGTATAAGATGTTACTACTGACCTGTACTGCTATATATGTGTCATTTTAGGGCATACATGTGTTTGTTCATCATGTCACTGTTTTGTGCCTGGAACAGCGTATTATATACCTGACTTATTATTTTAATATCCTATTCTTACAAATTTCGAGTGAAGTTATATATCAGAGAGTTCAGAAGAGAATAAAAATTGATTTAAAATGCAGTTCTCTTACAGTATTACAATTTTATACTTAAATTCTCTTTCAGACCATTAGAATTTAAATTCTAATGGCACATGTTGGTATGTCTGCTATGAAAAAGTGTTGCAATGGAATATTTTCATGATACATTGTACAAATATGAGTACAGGTGTCCTCCAATTTAATCAGAACAAACTGCAAACTTGCATTACTTGCTACATGTTTCATGCTGGTTTGTTCTTTAACCCTGAATATGGTGGAAACACATTTCACTGAAACATTGGTTGACTTTCAACAGACTACACAGCATTGTCTAAGTTAGAACTCTTCAAACTGTGTAAGATTCTGGAATTCATGACTTCTTATAATGTGAAACGTGTTGTGATTTTAGAATGTATAAAAGTCAAATGTTAGTATTGTTTCCTGCTGGGCAGGTAGGGATATTCTAGCTGTTTTGGGGAGACTTTGTACCTTATGCAAGGGTGTTTCCGTACCAATTTAATTATGTCCCACGTGTACTGTAGTGATGGTAGTGATATAGTTGGACAAGGGGCAGCATGTTGCTAATAGTGGGCTAATTATGAGCTCGTCTGTACACAGAAATTATTATATCAGAGATCGAATGGCTTTCAAGGTGCAGTAAATTTGATGTATATCTTGAAGTGTAGTAATAACAAAGAAGGAAATAACATACAATTAACTATAAAATTCTGTTCCATCCCTAGTTAATGTGAACTCTGAACATGTGTGTTCAAGTACATTAAGAAGGATGGATTAAGGATAGCTGATGAGGTAATCACTCAAGGTCCGAGATTAGGAGGAGGTTAAAGGTAAATGATTTTTATGTAGCACATAGCAAGTGCAAGGTAGCCATGAAACTGAGCTCTTTTTATCTCTCTGTAGTGCATTATCTCACCAGTATTTGTTACTGTGGAATAGAAAGGACATGTCGTGCTAAGGCCTGTAAACATATGCAGATTACACTTAATATGTTCCTGCACAGAACTTCTGTTACAATAGGGGCATTATAACAAATGTTGAATTTGAGGTTGTCATAGCAATGTCTGTGAAGACTTCTGAGATACAATGCTGTGTAGTTCAATGAAAGTTAAACGTTTTGGAGGAACATAACACTTCCATCTCCATGTTCAAAGAATAAGTCAAGCAAGAAACCAGCATGAAGCATGCAGCTTTTGCCCAACTGCACGGTATTACATTCCAGAAAATAGAAGCTCTCATACCCCTCCCCCCCCCAAAAAAAAACTCTTGTAATAATTCAAGTGTTGATGGTATTTGGTTGTCAGTTCAGAGGTTCACATTGATTAGTGGCTTGTGGCAGCAAAAGTCGCAATTTCAGAAAGTGCTTGAATATAAAACTCAGTTGTGAACTGTGCTCTCTGTGTAGAGTTCTTCATAATTTGTAAATTGAAGCTACCCAGTTGCAGGTATCATTACCAGTAATTAATCAGTTAACATCATTGTAATGTTTGTATTTATATACAGTTACAGAAAAGTAGAAGGCACTGAAATCCCTGCTACAATACTGTTTTATATCTGTGTATTGATCACAGAATTTGCAAAATATAATTAACCTATTAAAGTTAAACTGGGCAAAAGAAAAGTTGTTTATTTTCTTCTAATTCATCTTCAGAAACAGTGCAGTCACTTCTGCCAATTAATTAAGCAATTGAATAAAAGCAACATCAGCTTTTGAATGAGTGGTTGTACAGTACACCTCTTTAGGACCTTCACTTTGCTGACAAATTAAATTATCAGAAAATGCTTACAGAATTGTATGTGATGGAGAGGTGTGGGGGTCACTTTTGAATCTTTTTTTTTTTTTGCATTCTAACAATGCAACTAGTCTGAGACTAACGAGCATTTCTCTTCTGACTTAAACTACTACTACTATAACTTAAACATCTGAGACTGCACCCACTGGTGTGTCCCAGAATATGGTGTCCTTGAATCATGAACAGTAACATTCATCCCTATTTTAGGTTTCCAGAGTATACATGCAAAGAAGCCAGATGTAACAGAAACTTATTTTAACTCAAACAGAAAGTCATGTTTTGAACTGGAGTTCATGAAAAGCAAACGATATGTCATTGGCGCAGGAAAACGTCCATGTAGAGCTATGCAGTACAGTTTACAAATTGTAATGCGCAATATTTGCTCCACTTTTTTTTTTTTTTAATTCGCTTAGTAGGAAGTGGAGTCCAACTGGGTCCACTCGGCACCACGGCCACTAATTGGCCTAGTGTAGCCTGCCCCAGGTGATTATGATGGAGAATTTGGTGGAATGAAGATTGGCAGGGGAAACCGAAGTACTCGGAGAAAACCCACCCCAGTGCCACTTTGTCCGCCACAAATCCCAGTTGACCAGATCCAGGATCGAACCTGGGCTGCCACGGTGGGAAGCCAGCAACTAACCACTTGAGCTATGGCGCAGCCTTTTGCTCCACTTACACAATGATAGTTACAGACCTCAACTCAATTTTAGTATTTTTTTTTTAATTTAATCTTTCAGGTCTTTATTACAGATGAACCCATTACTGAGATGTAATTGTAAAGGTGAACCTATGGAAACTTCATCTGAGAGAATTTAGCATTATTTTTGGCCTGAAATTAATATTTACTTTCCCTGTATATATTTTTTTAAAGTTCATGAACATTTGATATACTGTTATGTATGTGAGTGTCATAGCCTGTGGTGTGTCTGACGTCTGTAAATGTTAGTGGGGTGGACATCTGAAAGAATTGAATGTTTAAAAATATTGTCACATGTTGGGTATATGTCATGTGACAAATAACTTTACGCCATGTTGGATATAGCAAATTTATTTCACATTCACTCTTACAATTACACAATTTCGCAAGTACTGGAATCTGCAGTATCACACTTACTTCTCCTGTAGTCATTTCCATTCATTCAAGAACAGTGGACTTCAACTCACCCTGGAGAATGCTAGACTGCAACTGACTGGTTACTATAACTAGTTACTCTTATAAACCTTCAGTCAGACAGCGGAAAACCCATATCACTTCACTATTGCGTAAACGCCATGTTTACAGGCGTTGCTGGGGAACACTGCTGAGAGTTGTTTATTGCTGTGTAGTAACTGCAGTGTCCCCTGTTACGTCACCACGGAGGAGGGGGACAGAGTGTTGACTGGCCTGTTACTGTAGCAGCGGAAGTTGCTCCAATGATATTATGTCACTGCTGGAGGGGGGGGGGTGTCCTGCATAGCGCAAATTCGTCACACTGCTCCCTTCTAAAGGTTGTTTCGTCCCGAACAGCCTAATGGTGCACCCCCATTCCTTTTCTTTCGGGGCTGTGCTTTATGAGTCTTCTTTTGGTTTGGCTGCTACTCTTGCAGTGACTATTCTCTGGCCATTACATCAACTCCTTTCTTAATATTCATCCTGAACAATTCCATGGTCCAGCGTTCGATGATCCATTTTATCACATTCACTCATCACTTTCATTCTCCATTCATGCCGGGGAGGCTGGTGTTATTACATTTCCGTTTGTAACTGCAGCTCTTTTGAATTTGACAGCAGACCGTGAATGTACAGTATTACTGTTCATTTTTGGAACACAACCTGTGGCGACAATTTCTGTAGAACCCACCCATCATTTGCAGGACAATGCTTGGCTGCATGCAGCACAAGCTGTGGCTGATTTGTTTGATTGATGGAGCTGGGAAGTGCTCTACCATCCACTATACTCCCCGGATATAAGCCCTTGTGACTTCGACTTCATTCCTAAGATGAAGGAACCACTTTGTGGCATTTGCTTGAGAACTGTTCCAGAGATTCTTCAGACAGTAGACCACTCCATTCGAACTATCAACACAACAGGCACTGCTAAAGGTATCCTACGACTTCCACATCGCCGGCAACGGGTTGTACACAATGCTGGTGACTACATTGAAGGACAGTAAAACTTCGAAACATGCATCTATTTTGTATCAGTTGTAAATAAATAGTTGCCACTACTAAAGTTCCAACCCTCGTACATACTACCTCCATTTTCATGATCCCTGAAGTTGGAGATGATACATTCCTCTGACACATCAGTGAACTTCTACCGGACTCTAGACTGTGCATGGTATCACATCCCAGAAGATAGCATGCTTCATATAGTCACTATCAAGAGAACTTGAAGCCTTACGTAAATGAAATTGTTTGGCTGCTCCGGTGCAAGATAAAGATAACACACATCAGCTCAGGCTGTACAGTTATACTGGCAGTGGACTTGACAGATCAAGAGCCAAAATACATCAAAATACCTCTTTAATATTATTCTAATAAATCTTTTAGCATTGTGATATTTTGATTCAGTTCTTTTTGTCCAGTAATTGCCTGGTATGTTTTAATTTGTTTATTATTATATAGTTTTTCTAACGTCCTGAAATTAACATGGGAAACTTGTCGTTAATTTTCTTACACAACCATTTGTCACATACGTATCGTACATGAACAGTCATTCCAGTGTGTCTCTTATACATGGCATTTTGACACAAGAAGTAATAAGACTGAATATTCAAAACGGTAGCAGTAGCTCAGAAGTACAGTAGGCTCACATGAATTGCAATAAAATTTTGTTTTGTAAGTTGCCAGAAATCTAAAGATTACTGCAGAAGCAGTGCTGCTTACTGTGAAAATCAGTATTGTATTATATACAGGAGTCAGAAATGGTATATCATTTATGATTTCTCATCATCCAAAACCCAACATAAGGAGGAAACATCTAGAGTTTAAATGTAAACATGGGATCTGGTATTTAATTACATCTCAGAAATACAGATAAAAAAATGAACAAATAATACAACAGTTTTTTATTAAATATTAACATGCACTAATGAATAGATATGTGTTAGTTCTGTGATGACATTTATAGTTTGTTCGTAAAAGTTTTTTTTTTCTTTGTGCTCATTTTCTGTTCATACAGTAACAAAGCTGACTGGCTGTTTATCTGCTTGCACTCCCCTTACTTCCCTACAAGACAATCTTGAAATTGAAAGCCTTGTAACAGATGTACAGCATACATAACAGCAACAATGTATTTATTTTAAGTTAATGCTGATAATGGTTTATTCTGCTGTATATTATTAGAATTAAATTTTATGGCACAAGTCTCTCTATGCACATATTATACACATAATATCTCATTAGTCCCAGTATTATAAGTAATATTACACACCCTAGAGCTGACGTAAGGAGTAATCTTAGTCAGTTTGATTTATTATATCTACTATGGTAAATGTATATAATATAATAGTGAGGTATTAAATTATGTCTATAATTTCTGTTGCTGTGGTTTGGTATTCCTGTTAATGTCTTCATGATCCAACTTTTTCTGTATTAGAAATATTTATGATGTATTATTAAGTTCTATCTTTACTGAATAAAACATTATCAGGTAGTGAGGGGTTTATTATTTGTAGGATTTGAGGTTCTCACAACGGTGATTAATGAAAATGTAAAATGAATACTTGAATTGAATATAGAAGGAAATCATATACATGAGAAATTATTATGAACCAAAATAATAAACTTATATACTGAACAGAATACATTGGACACACTTTAATTTTAGAGTGGTTTACCTTTGAATGCTTCTGTTGTAATGGCTGTGTCAACATGGTGGCATCATAGCAGCTGACAAGCTTTGGCTGATTTGAACTGAAGTGCTGACTGCCTTTATAGGCACCAGACACTCTGTACTTAAGACTGTGATGTCACCTCATAGTGAAGTACCAGTTAACATTCCTTTGCATTGAATGTTAATACTGAGAGAAAAATGGAGGCTAGATTTACCTGTGAACTGTCTCAAGAGGACATCTAGAAAAGAATCAGTTCAAAACATGTGTTGCAGTGAGATTCATTATACATTAGAACACCCCAAGAACAATGTAGGCAGTTGGCAACATGGTGAGAAATGGACCAAGGGTGCTAGCAGCTGGAGATTAGATATGTGTTAGGTTCACTTTTCATACCTGAACTCATGTCTATTGAAAATTTGCCTCATGTATTTATACTGTTCAATTTTTCCATAAAAAATCATCCAATTTGGCTGATTTCAAATTTTTAGGCCTAGTTGATTGCCGGATCGCTGCATCGTTTGGGATTCTGTCTTTAGGTTTGACTTTGTCCATCTTTTCACACTGAACTTCTAATAAATTCCCTTTACCATAACTGAGAGGTTCTTTATCCATATCCAATAATTTGGCATCATTAATGTTCTGGTCACTTGTCTCTGACGATGAACAAGATGCCTCATTGAGGACCTTTATAACTACACTATCCTTGTTAAAATCTGGTTGTTCCAGGTCAATCTTCTCACTGTCCTCACTGTCTTGATTACTGTTCTGTCTCCTTACTACCTTTGCTTTTAATTCTCTGTGGTTTCTTGCTACTACTTAGTTTACTTATTTTGGCTGATATATTCTTATTCACCGAGTCTACCATGTTGTCTTCTTCTCCATCTGTCCATGGGAGAGGGATAGCCACTTTGTGTTCTTGTCACCATTGCTAGAATCAATGATGTCCATTTGTTTAGTAGCCAAGTTTTACCTTTCAAATTCATGTGCAGACCGTGCATAGTAAAATTTTCTGTTTTTAGGCATACTACAGAGCCAGATGTAATCATAAGAACATAATTGCTTACTTAATTTTCTATTAAATATATCAACTTCCCTGTTTACACAAGATGATGATTGGAGGTCAAAACGATGCTGAGCAGTCGCTATAATCATACTAGTATTCTCCAGCCTTTTTACAAAGTTCAAAATTAATCTTAGTCCCAGAGAGGACTTGTTTTTGGCAATATCTCTAGACCCACCACAAAAAATCACTATGTCTTTTCGATAATTTCTCATCCTTTAAGTTCATGGAATTTAAAATCACACTTACATTGGCATTTGGCTTTGTAATCCCAATAACCCTAAAGGCTGGGGTTTCATGCTAAAAGCAGCTTGGCAGGGGCAGCATTATTGGCTTGAACTGCAAATGACAGTCTAGTTAGTTAGAAATTTCCACTACCATCAGTGGTGTGAAATTTTACATTGTTTCTGAAACTACCCTTAGAAATTATTAAGTGTATTAAACAAGTTTTTTTTATTGCTAGTGGGGTGAGGCTAAGTCCCTTGTACTGCAGCCACTTCTGGCCTATTGTACCAGCCCCAGATGATAGGTGAGGGTGATTGTGGAGCAATTGGTGGAATGAAGATCGGCAGGGGAAACCGAAGTACTCTGAGAAAACCTGCCCCAGTGCCACTTTGTCCACCACAAATCCCACTTGACCAGACCCGGGCCGCCACGGTGGGAAGCTAGCGACTAACTGCTTGAGGTATGGCACGGGCATCAAACAAGTTAGAAGAACAAAATTTTTCGTGAGTTAATTACTGTAACTGAATAAACTTTAAACTCACTAATATCTGAAGCTTTCATGGTTGCTAAGGTTAATATAGGTTTCTTGTTCTGTTAGCTGTGTCAACTAGTTAAAAATTATGTCATCAAGATATTGCAGACAGAGATGGTCTCTGAAACATCAGTAATTTTTGACCAACTGACATGGCTGACAGCCCAAGAAGAGTTTATCAACTTTAAATTCACCGGATAAATTAACTTATGCTTAAAGATCGAAGGTAGAATATGAAGGTCATATTTTTCTGTGGTACATGAAGTGAAAGGAACTGTCAAGCTGTATCTTCAGCTGTAACTAATAACTGATTTGGCCTTTACTTGCAAGTCATTCTTTGAATTTCAGGGTCCCTAAGCAAGAAAGTTTTTGCAGTCTCTTTTTGCAAATATTGGTTACAGTGTGTGAAACATATTACAGTCACAAAGTTGGGAAAATGGCAATGATTCCAAATTTGAAGACTTGCAGAAATGTAACAGTCTACTAGAGAAATTAAATTTTATTATGATACATACATACATTTGAATTTATAAGCACATGGAATCATTTCACTTCTAGTTGGTGAATACATGTTTTAAGATAAAAGTTTGCAGTCAAAACACTGAAGGATTTCTCTGCATTTCAGTATCATGTTATAAGTGGATACTAAAATGTTATAATTTTTTAAACAAGTTATTACTGTAACAAAAATTAAAAAATGTTACAATTTCTTTTCTTACTTGTACAGGGGAAGAGAAAGATGTTGGCTTCTGTTTGTAGAGATCTACGAAAAGGCAGAAAAGCAGGATGATTTAATATGATCTCAATGTACAGACAAGGAAATAAATTTCTTTAATAATTTTGCTGTTCCAAAATATTTCTGCAAAAATCTTCTGTTAAAGTTCTTTTTTAACTATTCTCATTTAGGATGATTTGCTATAATCTCACTGTAGAGACAAGGAAACAAATTTTTATAATAATTTTGCTTTTCCCAAATGATTTTGCATATGTCTTCTGGTGAAGATTCTTTAATTATTCTCATTTACTAGCATGCAGTTGGATCCTTCCTTTATTATGTATAAGTTCAATAAATAATATGTATAATTTATTATTATTGGTTTGTGGAAAGTTATAAAAGTATGTTTAATTTTTATTGTTAAGCTAACTTATGTACACTGTTCATTCCTATATTTAATATCTCTCAATTGATATTGAAAACAAGTATGCACGTGAACTCAAGTTAATCTTCCTACTGTGTTTGAAGCCATTCGACTGGCGAGTTACACTTCGTAAGGAGCAGTTAAAACATATGTACTAATAGGGTTAAGGGTAATGCTTGGAAAAAAAAAATCATGGTACACATATATTTGGGGCTGAAGATGGTTTTAGTTATTTATGCCTCTGGCACAGGGTGAAAAGAGGTATCTAAAATTCTTGTCCAAAGGTCTTTGTGGATGTAGAGGAATATATGACTTCAGGTCAGGAATGTAACATGTGGAATGTTGTAGTTTTTCCAAAATTTTGGCAACTGTTGCAATTACCATCTTCAGAGTGAAAGGCTTTGAGGGGTGCAGGGCTGGCAGCTCTTATGTAGGTAGATCTTGCAGTGTTCCATTTGTCTGTGGTGAAGCCATAATTGGATGAAACGGGTATTATCCAATAGGGAGCAACTATATGACAGTGAAAAGATGTGATGAAATACATTTTGGCCATCAGGCAGAGCTGAAAAGAAGGGATTAACCATGTGGCTGCTAAAACATTTTTAATCACCTGTGTTGTATTGTTTTTGATGATATCTGGGGTATTGTGTTATGAGTTCTGCTAGTATTTTTAAGGCTGACTAAGGTTCCTCAGTAGTATGATTTTGGAGACAGTATGATGCATGATTAAATTTGTGATATATACATGTATGAATCTGCTAGGCAATAAACAGCCTATTATAAGTATTTTTAGACTGCATTTGTGCCCTCAGAACAACAGCTTTCCCTTATGAGGGTTTAGAATTTGGTGTACCATCAGAAGAAGATATACGGGAAACCCTCCTTACAGCATTTATAAATTTCCGAGCCTTTGTGGAAGAAGCTGATGATGCAGATGATGATCCTGTGCTAAGATTGCTTGGTGTATGAAAAACAGCATCTGAAGAAGGCACATCAGTAAGTTTCTTAGTGGTACTCACTAGTCCAGAAGACACAAACTTATTTGTTGTCTGGGGAGACGATTTTATCCTTGGTTTTGGTAGACCATCAGGCAATTTTCTGCTTTGAGGATATGAAGACTGAGCTCTGCCTGATATTGAAGATGCAACGGAGGTGCTTGATTGTGTTCGAACCCGTGGACTGACAGATCCTGGACTTGCAGAGGTCTTATTTATACCTTTTTGAATTCCAGATATTTTCTTTATGGATCCTGAAGAGCAAGGCATTTTCTTTTTGTCTCCTGTAGCGTCAGGAATTTTCTTTACACATCCTGGAGTACTTGGCATTTTCTGTACGCTTCCTGGAGTTCCAGATATTTTCTTTGTTTGTGCAGGACTTCCATGGATTTTCTTTAGACTTCTGCTGATTTTTACTTGAGAAGATGGAGTTGAAGTGTTGTCTGGTCTCAACTGTTACATGTAAAAAAACAAGACTTATTTTAAAAAAATAAACATGAAACCAATATTCTAGAAAAGAGGTTTATCTCTTTCCTTTCAGTGGCTGCAAAGTTCAGTATTATTGTGCATATTGAATTACTGTTCTGGCCTTCTTAAATAACTGCAGAAAACATTCTTCATATATACTTATAACCTGAATCTGTAAGGCTCTATTAATATACAAAACAGGTTTTAATGCCTCAATCTACAGTAAACTCCCAGTTATCTGATATGTATGAAGAATGGGGTGTGTCTATAGCATGAATCTGCCATTTGTATCAGAATAACTCTCAGAGGAACTCAACAGAATATCAGAATAACATGTTTTCACACTAGCTCTTGCAAGGTAATCTTCCTAGGTGATATAGTGGTTTAATGGGTGAAAGATTCAAATATACTCTAATGCAATCACAAATTCAAGTAGCTTCTACTGTAATGGCACCTGGAGGAGGAAGGATGATGAACAGTGATGTTAGTGGTGGCTGGGAGAACTACATGTGGTAGGTGAACATATGTGCATCACAGCTTGGTTTTTTAAGCAACTTTTATTTTAATATACTGGTTCCATCATTCACCTAAAAACCACTACAGAAAATGAAATAATGGACCTTAATTAGGAATTTGGATTATTCCTCCCACACCCATATCAGACATATTACAACGGTGCTCAAACATCCAGTTGCAGTGGTTTAGTTATATGTCTGTATGATTGTAACAAGGAATCATTTTGCTCAAATGGCTAATGATTTGTGAATGAGAGGATAATGTGTATTTGATCAAATATGACAATAGTATTTGAATAACTTTTATTAACTGTTTAAAGTACAACGACTTATGTTACAAACATCAGGAATATCAGTATTTCCAAAGCACAAAAATGTGGCATGTATGAACACCCATGAACCAAGAATGAAAATAAATAACAAACAGGTCTGGGTACTTTGGGTTAAACAGGTATGGCTGTGACTGTTCATTCACTACACCTACAAAATATACAGCATTCAGATATACAGAATAATTCGTAAGTCCCTCTGGGATTTCCAAGCTCTTCAGTACAGTAGCCGGGATGGTCATGGCACGGAGGGGGCCATCTCAAACGAGGGATGGCCACTCACTCTGCTTGTATTTTTCATACCACTTGTGAACTGTGTTGTAGGTAGGTGGTTCTGTGTGGTACTTGGTCTGAAACCTCCGTTGCACTGTCACAACAGTTACGACTCAGTTTTCGCAAATTCCAAGACACAGAATGCCTTCCTACTCACTGCCACCACCATCTTAATTAACGACTTGAGGGTTCTGTGACTGGTTCACACATTCGCGATTCGATAAGTTGTGATACATGTATTCTGATTGGTTTGCACAAATGCAATTCGATACATTGAGACAGGTGTGTTGTGATTGGTACCCGACCTGCCAAACTATCTAGTTCAAGTACACTGTGCAGAGATGGCAGTAGTTCTGGATGTTTCCACTTCTCCTCTTACAAGTCTGGATGGGCATTGCCTAAGACTTTTTTTGTATTTACAATAATTCTTTCTACAAAAAAAGAACTTATCCTATTACAGTTTCTAACCCCTGGTCATGACGGTCACGACTGCCCCCTATTGCTGAAACACGCAAGTATGCCATGGCGCTTGTGCTTATTACCCAAACAAATTTGGAGAAATGCTCTACCCATTGGTATGCTCCTTTCTGCTGTGTCCGTCTTGGTAGTTATGCTGCTGAGTAAAGAAGTTCGGAGGGACTAATGAATTACCCTGTATCAACTATTCAACTGAAACATTTTCAGGTACATAGTCACACTAATTGAACAGTTGTTGAGAACATGATGTATGATATATATGAGGAAGAGTAAGAAAGATTGAGACATATCAACATGATTTTCTTTAGTGCTAGTGGGGTGGGACCAAATCTCTTGTACTGCAGCCACTTCTGGCCTATTGTACCAGCCCCAGATGATAGGTGGGGGTGATTGTGGAGCAATTGGTGGAATGAAGATTGGCAGGGGAAAACGAAGTACTCTGAGAAAACCTGCCCCAGCAGCACTTTGTCCACCACAAATCCCACTTGACCAGACTCGGGATCGAACCTGGGCCGCCGCAGTGGGAAGCCAGCAACTAACCACTTGAGCTATGGCGTGGCCCTATCAACATAATCCTTGACAGACAATGAGAGAGATGCCTCAGAATTAAATTTTGGATGTAGGTTCAGACAGCTCAAATATATAGCTTTAGATCTACATAATGAGGTTAGGGCACAACATATATGACAGGTAATTAGTGTTATCAAGGATGACCGAGGAGGAGGAGGAGCAGGAGGAGAATTTATGTACTGTAAGATGTACGTAATTTGCTTGGCGGGACTGAGGCAAACAAATCAGAAGGAAATGGACTGGGCTACCACAAGGTTACTAAGAAGCCTTTGTTGCCTAGCAGGTTGGAATGACCATGAATTTTGCTACATAATTATTTTCATTGCTTTATTTTGATGACATAAGCTATAGGATACCTACATTTCATTTTAATTTATAACCTGTGTAGTTTCCCAAGAAAGAAAATAACTAAGCACTGTGCTATTACCTTGTTAAGGGTAGTATCTACAGATAATGGCTGCACTTGTAACATAGCCATGGCCTCAGTGATACTGCGCTTCGCAAATTCCAAGCGACAGAAAATTCCATGTTTCTCAGTCAAAGTGATTCTCTCTAGAGATGCAGACAGAATACTCATAGGGCTGGAAGAGTGCTGTGGAGTTCCATTGCTGTCCCGTGGTTCATGATGTTTAATTAAATCTGCACTGCCACTCCTGGACACAGGGCTCGCAGAGCATGCTGATAATTCCTGGAAGTTTTTTTGGAGAAATGAAATGTAATTATATCATAGAGTAAGAGAACACATGAAGCAGGTGACAAGTACCCTTTAAATGTTTATGCAAACATAATATCAAGAATGCAAGGATGGTAATTAGTCATAACTTAAAATTAAGAATTAAGTATTTCTTGTCATGATAATTATTCAGTGTTTTTCTTCAGATCTCATGAGTAATACCTTCCTCTTGCATGCAAAGAGAATACAGAACTGTACTGATTCAGACTCTAAATTGTGACATGATACAGTGAGATGGTAGGACTTTAGATCTCAAGGTCAAGACAAGAGAAGGTGCTAAATGAGTGAAAGATATACTTATGCTTGCCTTTATTCAGTACCATGAAATTAAATCTAATATCATTGTCTCTAAGATGTGACATCCTTTGCCTTCATCAACGTTAACCCAAAGATGAAACTGGGCACTGAAGTCTCCCAGCAGGAGATGAGCAGGGAGTCATGAGAGAGGATCCTGGACGTTTGTCAATATGACTGGACTAGGAGATCAGAAGTACACATTGCAAATTATGAATGTGAGAGAGATAGTTGATATTTGTACAACCATGGCTTCCATATTACTTTATAGCTGAACTTGATAAGAAGAAAAACTGTCTCTAACAAAGGTGGCATTTCCACCTTTTACACTCTTATTGGTAAGATGGTCATAACTGTATGAAACAGCCTCTGAAGGAGATATTATGCACAGGAATGAAGATTTTTACTACAGACAGTGGCAGAGAATAATACCTCTGCATGAAATCAAGTTCAGGGAGGTGAGAATGGAACCTAGTAATATTCAACTTAATGATATGCATGATACGCAGAGTATGGGAAACATCTACTTAATTTTACTAATTTTTATAATTCATATTCACATCTTGATGTTTGCTGTGCAGTCTGATGCATCGCTATCCAAGCCAAGATAATTGTAAGTCTAGGCCAGGAACTTCCCTCCTGCTACCCACAGGGCCACAGGACAAATCAGATGAGGATAACGCATCAATCAACATTTTCTTTTGACATAAATATTCTTTCTGGAAAGAGTTCTGTTCCATTGGAACCAATAGACCTACTCACCCAAGAGTGTCTGATTAATGATAAAGTTTTTATATCTGATTTCGAAGATTTGCCACTACAAGTATCCAGAAGACAGCACCATGACAATTAGACTATTATGTATTGTGTGAGAAAATTCTACCACTTACCTCCAAAAACTTAATTCATACGGGTGTTACCAATTGTTCTCTGATGGGGAAATATCACTACAAGAATAAAAAGCATAACAAACTCCATGACCTGTAGTCCGCAAGTGAACTATACCGCCCAAGCGACTGCCGCTCGTCGGCAAGTTAGTGCCAACTTTTGCGGATAGAGGGTGTCGCGTGGTCAACGCAACGGATCCCCACGGCCATTAATTTCGGTTTTCTAGACCGAGCCGCTATTTCCTTGAAGAATTACAAGAATTATATTGACAATTTCATATTTAGGTTTAAGTTTTGATTTTAATAGCTTGTTGTGGTCAGACTCTAAAAGACAGTAATATTGAACCAAACAAGAAATAAATTTGCTCACCATAGCATGCATTGCAAGAAATGACACCATGTTTTTTGCTTACTAGAGAAGAGTAACACAATTTTCAATTTATGTGTAAGTCAGAGTTATGAAGTTATAATAAAACTGGTCTTAATATTTTCTCTTCATACCAAATAAGTTGTGCAAACAGTATTTTCTAGAAAATCGTATTTTATATAAATTGTACGCACCACACTGGATGTTGTCCGAGGAAGTAACTTCTTAGTTTGCTCAGCACATTCAGCTATTTCTGTTTCAGATCCATATAACTGTCCGGTTGAATGTGCTAGTGGAAGTGTGTCAAGAGATCGATGATGTGAAACGTTTAGATAGCTGTTTCCAGTCAGAGAATGCCTTGAAGTGTCTATTTCTCCAAACTCAGGGTCACAAGTGATGTTCAAAACTCTGAGCATGATATCCTTGACCACTGCAGCCACTGCTGGAGCTAATGGAGGCACAAGAGAGCTCCCAGCTTCCTGCACACTACCTATGGATTCCTGCAAAATAAATAAAAATTGAAGCATCTAGGAATTCAAAATGAATTCTAAATTCTAGGTAAATAAAGACTTGGTCAATATACCAAAATAAAATATATTATTTAAACCTCTAACTGAGATAACTCATCAATCATTCATATCTGTGATGAAAGTACTGTATTTAAATTCCTTTTAGAAATATAAAATATTTATAGTCAGCATCAAAAATATTTTATTATTCTCACTACATGTGAATTTGATGCTTGATAATTTGAGTTTATATATGATCCACTTAAAGGTAAATTTATTCCCACTGGTAACTGCTCTAATGTTCGAGGATTTAAGGAGAGTAACCACGTGTAGCTAAAATAAAAAACGTTTCAGTTCAATTCACATGTTTTTGTATTTTACATACAACTCGAGTTTTACAAAATTCACTAGAAATCAAGTGAGGCATCATTGGTGTGGATGATTGAAAATTTGGGTCCATAAATTGGAATGTTGCAATCAGTTCTTTGCCCGAGTCACAAATTTTTTTTTCATCTTTCAAAGTCCATTCATATGGTGGCAAGGGTATAGGATATTCTCATCTGAATCTCCACACACTTAATAAAATGAAACAGTATTTTTAATTGATTACACTTTCAAGACATTATATGCAAGATTAAATAACTTATTGTTTATGAAATACAAAACAGATCAACTAACAAAGATGAAAACTAACATGTAACCAGCAGTAAACCAACTGGGTACAATATGATGGGTTCTTTTTCCAGTCATTGCAAGACAGAATAGTCTCCTGACCAGTAGATGTGTGTCATTTGATATTATGTTAACCAACAGATGCAGGCTTGCCAAACTTCAAGCTTAATCTTTCTCACACAATTCTATATTCTATATATTCTATATATATTATATATGCAGATGACACTAGTATAATATTTAAGAACTCTAAATTTGAAAACTTTAAAAATGACATAAATATTGTATTTGAAGCCTTAAACAGATGGTTCGAAGCCAATTTACTCTCATTAAATTTTGATAAAACCCATTACATATCATTCACAACTAAAAACAACCACCAAATTGATCTGGACATCAGTTATGCCAACAAATTAATCTGTAAAGTACTTGATACAAAATTCCTTGGAATACATGTGGACAGTACACTGTCTTGGAAAATACATATTGAACAAATTATACCTAAATTAAATGCAGCTTGCTATGCGATGAGATCAATTAAGCCTTTTATGTCACAGGAAACATTGAAGATGGTTTACCATGCCTACTTTCATTCTATTATGAACTATGGATTAATATTTTGGGGGAACTCTTCACATAGTGTAATAATTTTTAAAATACAAAAGAATATAATTAGAATCATTACAGGATGTAGAAGTAGAGATTCATGTAGAGAATTATTTAAGAAATTAAAAATTCTACCTCTTCAATCGCAATACATATTATCGCTTCTCTTATTTGTTGTTTACAACAAAGATAAATTCAAATTAAATTCTGATGTCTATAACATGAATACTAGACAAAAATATAACTTCCACCTACCCTCATCAACTTTATCAGTATATCAAAAAGGAGTCTACTTTACTGGCATAAAAGTGTTCAACAATCTGCCACAAAGTATTAAAAACTTGGGCAATGATACTAAAAAGTTTAAATCAGAGTTAAAGAATTATCTACATGCTCATTCCTTCTACTCTTTAGATGAATACTTCAATGTAAATAGAGAATGATGTAAAATTAAGTTATATTAATTTTTAAGCTAAAATTGCCTGTACTTATGTATGTAACCTTTTGACTTGTTCTGTATCCAAAGGTACTAATCTACTTAGGATTTATAGAATGTAAATTAATTCAATTCAATTCAATTCAATTTCTTTCAAGGAAATCAAATAGGTCGTTTTATGAAGAAAGTGGTGAGTGATGAAACATATTCATAGTCAGCTCATAAGAACACACTAAAGTCACTCGACTTTATGTCAAGAACGAAGTCAGTGTTGTACATGGCCACTGGAGTTAGGAATTTGAGACTTTCTATGGAAGTAGATCATAAACTTGCCTAAAGATTCTGTGTGAAGTCTAATATTACATTCATGGTGACAGTGCAGACTTTTGAGAGTATGCCAGGAAAATGTATGGCAGACAAAATCTATATTTTAAAATAACGAGATTTTTCTATATAACAAGAGCTGTGGGCTGTAGGTTAGAGCGAATTAGAACTAGGAGTACAGAAGAGTATACCGTAAGAAGTCAGCCTATGAAGATTTCACATGTGATTTGAAGACTTTATGTGTGCTGTAGTTCAGTGATATCTGGAGTGCGACAGTTACAGTTCCTGTGTTAAAATCTGTTGCCAGGAAAAGAATAAGGAAAACTTTGCAGAGGAATGGTCATTATTTAGATCTCTTACCTGGGAACAACTAGTGTATGCAGATAGAGAAAACTTTGTATATATGGATTTTAACCATTGTGCAGTGTGATTGATAAAAGTTTTACATGTTTTGATCAAAACAGTCACCTTCAGAAGGATAGTATCAACAAATATGGAAACTACTATTATATGTCATAGATATAAATGTTATATCTTTTAACTTACTAACTTAACTGACTTGAATTTATCTTATATTGATTTGTTAAAACATCTAAAATTATTACAATTAGTCTATTTACAAATAATTTTCAATATTTGTTTTAATCTAGAACCATTTTGGTTCGTGTTGTTATACTTCTCCTTTATGAAAGATGAATATTATCCATGGCATGGTTTCATTGTCTGATGATGAATGCTCTTTCGTATTGTGGTCCAATTATTCAGGCTATACTCTATTTGTAGCGTAGCTGTAGCATGGCTTGAATAGCTGGACCACAATCTGAAAGAGCCCTCACCAAAGGTGAAAGAAACTAAATTTCTAGGACTAATTATTGATGATNTGAAACCACACCATAGAATATATTCATCTTCCATTAAGAAGAAGAGTGTAACAACATGAACCAAACTGGTTCTAGTTTAAAACAAATATTGAACATTATTTTGTAAATAGACTAATTGTAATAATTTTAGACATTTTAACAAATCAAAGTACACCTTAGTATTATTTAAAACATATAATATTAACATCTATGATGTGTAACTGTAGTTTCCATATTTGTTGACAATATCCTTCTGAAGGTCATTTTGACCAAAACATGTAAAGGATGAAAAATTAGAAACACAACTTTTATCAGTCACACTGGACGGTGGTTAGAAACCTTATATACAATTACTAGTGTGATGGGCCAGGATGAACCAAGTTAAGTTTATAGAAGATTTTGTTCATGCATTATAATTACAGTAATCTTGAAAGGGTTATAATTATTTGTAGTTATGACTAGTGAATATCCAACAAATCTAATCATCTGATCTAGAACCCTTTATTTTCGTCACACATACCCCCTATTTGTGACATTATAAACATGAAAACTATACTATACCTGACTTCCCAGAGCAACTGGAGCACTCCCACTCACTTGCCAGAATTCTGCCTGTGTAGCACTTTCTATAGGTGGACAACGGCATTCACCTTCCACAGATTCAAGAATGGCTCTCAGTCCTGAATGACCACAGGTAATTTCCACCCTACAGTCTGCAATTTTCAGGCCTTCAGCAGAGTTCAAACTACTGGTGGATGTGGACATGGAATAATCTCTTCGGTGTTCACATTTATCAAACGCTCTAAGTTTGAAACCTATTGAGCGCAGTATATTCACAAGATCTCCAACATCTGGAGGGCTTGCTGACTTTGTCTGAAAGGAAACAGATGATGGATATTTTCGCATTCCATACATGCCATAAAGTGTTATGAAGTTATATTGTTTCAAGATCAAGAGTGTTTATGCACAAATATTTTCATTCAATAGGGTCCTGAAGACATTGTGTGTTTTTTTTTGTTGTTTTACAGAGGGACAGATTGATTCTTTGACTATCTAACGACATTCCTCCAACTGTACTTATTACATAATGAATAATGTGGAAAAACGTTCAAGAATGACAATTGGCAAGAAGGAGATGGACTGCCTTGGCCACTCCATACTTATCTTGGCATCTGCCTATACAGACTGTTGAAAACCATTAAAACTGAGTACTGAGTGATTGATTGTTAGGTTATTTAGTGACATTATTTTAACTGTTAAAGGTTATGTATAGTCAAATAGAATGGGAGATGAGTATATGGGGAGTTAGGCCTAAGATTGTTCCTCTCTCAAGACCATAAATTTTTGTAATTATATCAATTTGGTTGTTCTATGCATGTGGCTCCTTCTATTAACCCTGGTTGTTGTTTTCTGGTAAGGTCCTGTTACTAACCTTTCCCATGCTACAAAGAAGATACCTCATTAAAAATAATTATCTTTTTTTTTTTTGAACGATATCTGAGTGTGGTCAGCATAGTAAAATAACCCATAAAGGAAACAGAATTTATGTCTATTATAAATTCTATCATCAAATGTGAGTTATTTTATTGTGTCATTAGTTGCTAAACTACATAGTATTGAATGGGGGGTTGGATGTATTAGTTGAAAGGATTTGGAAGGAAACAGTCATGGCATAAATGAGGCACTATCTCTGAATTTGGTTGGACGGAATGAGGAAAAGAACAAAAACCTCAGACAGGATAGCTGGTGTGCTGGTTGAGATTTGAATCAAGCACCTCTGAGCTATAAAGTGAAGAACATTGCTGCTACAACAGTTTATTCCAACAGAAAGTCAAACATAATTTATCACAGGGTGCAAGCTGCCCAGCGTCTAATGCAAGAGACTAGTTACATTTTTCAATGCACAATTGTAAATATGGAGATGAAATAACATGCAGATAATGAGTAATGCCAGTCCACTCAATGTTAATGACTACTGTTATTCCATATGGAGTATTTACTGATGATCTGACTGATGTCAGATACAAAGTTTCACACCCATACAGAACCACAGGCAAAATTATAGTTTTTTGTATTATAATTTTTATGTTTTTGGACAAAAGGCAGGAAGACAAAAGGTTCTGGACTGAATGATAGCAAGCATTACCCAAGTTCATACTCCTCTTAATTTCCTCCTGAATCGGGTTTTGATGTGTTACCATTATTCCCAAATATGTGAACTGTGTCACATTTTCAGAGCATCTGCTACCTATTTCTATGTCATGAATTTGCCCTGCATTTTGGTGCCGAGACAGCAACATGTACTTCGTTTTCTCTGTGATTACTTCTAGACCAACCTCCTTACTAGTGTCAATTAAAGTTCATGTGTTTTTCTTTATGGCATCTACATTATCACTCAGTAGATTCACATCATCAGCATAGACCAAGAGCAGGGCGTTGAGGAGAATATTTGGGCCGAAGCGAGATCAAGTTACAGGAGGTTGGAGAAAGCTGCATAATGAGGAGCTTCATAACTTGTGCTCTTCTCCAAGAATAATTAGAATGATCAAGCCAAGGAGGATGAGGTTGACAGGGCATGTAGCACGAATGGGGGAGAAGAGGAATGCATATAGTATATTGGTGGGAAAGCTAGATGGACAGAGACCACTGGGAAGACCAAGACATAGGTGGTGTACAATATTAAAATTGATCTTGGAGAGACAGGATGAGATGGTGTGGACTGGATTGATCGATAGGGACCAGTGGAGGGCTCTTGTGAACACAGTAATGAACTTTTCAGGTTCCATAAAATGCTGGGAAGTTCTTGAGTAGTTGTAAAACTGGCGAAGAGTGCAAGTTATGAAACTCCTCATTATGCAGTTTTCTCAAACCTCCTGTTACTTCATCTCTCTTCGGTCCAAATATTCTCCTCAACACCCTGCTCCCAAACACCCCCAGTCTGTGTTTCTTCCTTAATGTCAGACACTAAGTTTCATACCCATCAGGAGTTGATCTCTTAGGTCAAAACCCATACTGATGATCCCCAGTAATTTCATCTATATATGGACTTTACCTTGAAAGTAGAATATAGGATAATATTTTGTATGAAGTTGATAGCAGTGATATCCCATGATAATTAAAATTGAAATTGAAATTTAATACAGTGAATTTCATGCCCCTTCTTGTGAATTTGTGAATTGGTACAATGATAGACTCCTCCACTGATCAAGCAATTCTTCCTTATTCCAGACAGAATTAACGAGATGATGGATCTCATACTGTAATATTTCACCTCCTGCTTGAATCAGTTCTGCCAGAATTTGATCACTACCTGACTAGGTATACTCATACTTTTTCAATTTTGCAATAGCAGTTTCAACCTCAAAAGGACCAGGATCCAGTACTAGCAGCTCAGCTGTATGTATTTCTATCTGCCTAACATCACTGTCCCTATGTACATTCAATAACTGAGAGAAGCAGTTCTTACACCTATTCAAAATGTTGTGGGAATCTGCAAGCAGATCACCATTCTCATCCTTCACTAAGTTACTTCTAGGTTGGTAACCCATCTTAAAGTAATTTATTCCTCTATACAGGTCTCTAATATTCTTGTTCTTACTGTTCATCGCCAGCTGATCAATTTTGTCTTTTAGACATTCCCCCTTTTTATTCCTGAAATGCCCCTTGGCTTCATATCTTATATTGATTTATTTCCTTTGGATTCTGTAACCTCTGCAATTTGGCTTTTTTCCTTTGATCTAACAATTCTAAGCATCCTTCATCAAATCATGGCTTATATTCTAATCTACCAATATTAGTATTTGCATTCTGTGGACATGTCTTGCTTACCTGCTCCTTCTGATTAGATAAATTCCTATATCCGAGGAAAATGTATGTAATTGTCTCTCCTAAAAGTGATCTCTTCCTGATGATTTGGACATTTATTTAATTTTTAATCCTTTACACAGAGCGGGGGCACGCGGTAGCATAGTTGGTTAAGGCACTTTGCTACAAGCTGGAAGGTCGCTGGTTCGAGTCATGATCAGGTGGATTTTTTTTTTTCAATTTGCTTAATCCTTCCAGCCGCATTATGGCTCTGGGGTCAAATCAGCCTTTAACAGAAATGAGTACCCGTAATCTTCCTGGGGGATAAAGGGTGGCCGGCGCTTAAGGCTGACAGCTTTACCGCCATCTGTGAGCCGATTTTCTAGAAAATATGAGAGCCTCGACTTCTCACAACCCTGTGGGCCTCCACAGCCTGTTATGGGAATAGCTTTACCTTTTACACAAAGCAGGTCTACCTTGGGCCCATGGCACCTCTTCTTGTGACCCCTTTAACATATCAGCACGTAACATGCAACTAGGACCGTTCCTACGGTATGGAACATTGGGGAGAAAGCCAGCCCCCACCCCACCCCCGCCTTTCGTTAAGAATGTATCTGTCTAATTTAGCGGCTTCCATCAGTTTGATTTTGTTTATCAATAAATTCGTTATTTGGCAGGATGTGGTATTTAAAATAATCGCTAATTAGGTATTTTAGTAAGAGGGAGAGAGAGAAAGCAGTCTGTTACTTCAAGGGAGTGTATGACTACTGGTACCAATACGAAAAATATTATCAATTATTATATATGTGTGGCCTAGTCTGGGAAGGGAAAATCACCTATTGAGTCTGTAACAGAACTGCAATACTTAGTGGTGACAATTTCCAAATTTATCGGAAGAAAACCTGCGAGCTTGACACTGCTTCGAAATTGGATTTGTAATATATGCTTTAAGTATCGGCCAGCCCAAGTCAACGAGATATTTCTATTGTGCTTATTACAGAGTTGAGTGTATGCCTGTTGTAATATTTTATGTGGACTGTAGTATATGTTAAGGTTATTCCAGTGTGCAATGTTGACGGGATTGGATTTAATTTAGTTCGCTTCTAGGTAGAAATGCGACAGTTTCCTGTCACACAGAAAACATTATATTTTTTTGGAAATTTAATGGGAGTATGTCTTTTAGCTTGTAGTGGTCTAAATGCAAATAGCGATTATATTCTTCAATATTAGTTATTTGGGTTGTCTATAATTGAAGAACATTCAACAAAATTTTAACAAGAACGCCTTAATTAAAGTTTTATGAAAGATGAATGTGGACACCGGCTATAAAATTTTTCAAAAGAAGCGGGCAGGAATACGTATATGTTTCTATGATTGTGATGATTTAATTTGTAATATAAGAATTCCTGGCATTATGATCTGAAGTACAAAGAAGAAAGTAACAATTTTGTCAGTTCTCTCAGAAGAGAACAAGTGGCGGCTCTAAAAACAGGGCTTGTATCACAGGAGAATATTTTCCTAACAATCCAGTGACAAATTCCTGCACAGTGACATCATGATAACCTGTTGGTTAAAAACAAACCTCTGTCAGGTGGAAAATTCGTATGAAAATATTTGCAACATTGTGCGAGCTATTTGACCCGAAAAAGAAGCTTCTGTATATTATAAATATGTCTCTTGCGACAATTATGCTACTATTTGGAGATGGGAGTAGAGACTTACGTAATTAACTCAAAAACGAAGTAAAATCGTGCATAAGCTTTTGACACAAACGATACTGCTCAGTTATTTATTGACGTTCCAGGCATTACAGAATCTTTTAGGTGGCCAACGAATAGTTACGCTCGAAAATTTGCATCGTACAACACGGGAAAACGGGGTGACAACTGGACGATAAGTATAAATAGGAAGAAAACAAGTTTGGTTAGTAGAATATGGCGAAAGCTTGACACAATTACCCGAAATTTACATGAACTTCAATCCGTCATCCACTAACCGTCACTTTCACGATAATCATTAAAGTTTGAACCCGTTACGAACTTCATTCGATCCCACGGACTCTCATCGCCAGTTTCAGTCTCTTTTTGTTTAAAATTGATGCAGAATACGGGATCATCTTACACCACACAGAGATCCGATGATGCCTAAGATAGCACAGAATGTTTTATTGTATATATCAGCACATATACGTGTAAAAAGGCTTGTTCATATACAGAACAAAACAAATCGAAATTACGTTCAAGAAACATCGATATGTACTTACATAGTGTGATGCGAACTGACATTTAAAAATGGGACTTAATGTTAATTCTCCTGACTATCAAAGTCAGCCACACGTTTCGCATTAATATGAGAAACTTAGGCTATTTTTATTACAATGTTCAATTTTGTATTGTCTACTGCAGAAATATTTGAATGCTCGGGTCCTCGTAGAATACATCTTTAGTGTGACCCGCCTACATAAAAAGGTTGACACCTCTGCTTTAGAAGTGACTATTATCTCTGCAAACCACATGCCAGAATGTTCTATAACTACTCTTCCCTCCCACAAGTAAATTTATGGGTTTCGTTTTGAGAATAAGTGGCCATTGGTTTCATAACCACCATTGTGTGATTAATATTTGTAACGAAGATTCGGTTTATTCTCTTGTCGGTAAAAAGCTACTCCTCTACTAAATTAAGTAATAAGCCATGAAGGCATATGGTGGAGTGGAGGCGCAGCTCCACTATGAGTAATCTCTGCATTAGATGGAGGTGGGTGACTGACTGCAGGTTCCTCTCTCTTTACCCCCGGGGAAAGTTTCCCCGGCACCCATTGAACAGGAAGTTGGGTGGATACTAAAGCCGGTTTGAACGTTATAAAAACAGATAAAATTCTCTTGCACTTGCTGGTAATCGAACACCAGCCCTTTCTCCGTTCAGCCCGTTTTCTAGTCGCTATACTGATTTACACCGGCTCCCCTTTCTTGTCGGCGAAATGAAACATTTTAAATAAGAATAAAATGATCCTCGCCATTTATATTGGCTAATTAAGCTCTCCGAATCAATCGATTAACTCCATAATACCTTGTAAAATTTTCACTACTCCTGTGAAGAAGGAAGCATTATCTTGCATTGGACGCCACTTACGTTAAGAATTTTTCATTGGTCCTCTTTATAGTAAACCCCACATAAACTATATTGGACTTGCATATGTGACTTAACGGTCCTCAGAATATAATACGTGTTTCTTTATTAATTGAGAAACGTTTAATAAAACAGTAAATGTTTTCTGAAATATATCCTCCAGTGTTTAATGATATATCTAAGCATTATAATATTTGTGATAGTTGCAACACGTTTAACAAGTCGAGATTTTTTTTAATTGCCAACTATTACGGAACACTAATATTTCTCTTGAAAGGAACGTCATCTCAGCTACGAAAATACGTAACTCGTTTCAAATGCTCAAACAGCGATAAACATAATTTTACACATTTCTTTACCCACATCTGTTTTACACGACGAACCTACCAGTCAGGGATCTTCAGCAACCATAAATTACACGTATTTTGTTTTCTGGCAGCTTATATGGTTAGCCAGCGTAAACGTTCATGTTCATGTTCATATACATGTATTTAAGTACCTAAACTGTTATTTGTACTGACTTGAGCCTGCTACAAATATATCGCCGCCATTAAAGGTAAGAGTTTCAAATACGTTTTATTCTTCCCATTTATAGTTCCGTACGGACAATATTTTCATTCGAAATTTTGAAGGTATTTTCAGTATAGTGATCTGTTAATGATTTGAGGCAGGGTGAGTAACATTAAAATGAAATTAAAATTGAGTAACAAATTAGTGAGATTATTTAGGTTATAATATATTATAAATATATGTGAAGTTCAATTGACAGATATATGTGGTCACCATACTTTAAAATTCTCCTAGAATAGGAATCGATTATCCTTTTCTATATAAACTATTCTGAAAATGGAATTTTTTTAGGTGAATACGCCATGATAACTTCCATGAAACTCCCCTATCCATTCAACCGATGCTTCAAACAACCTCGAAAAAGAATACAACATCGTGAAAAATAGAAATAGAAAAAAAATATATAAAGTTTCTAAATTTTAAGATAAATGGCAAATGCATTTTATTCAGATAACCTATATCGCTCTAGTACATGAATATCACACGAGTAGAAATTTTAATTATTTGTAAGAAGTATAAACGGAGACAATTTTCTTAAACCTTGATTTTGGTCCTTTGAAATTTCATTTTCACTTTCACGAAAGCCTGAAGCAACTTTCTGTAAGGTGTAAAAAACATCACTTTCCAATTTTGTACATTTGTTCATAATATTCCTGGCAAATACTTGTCTATTTACGACATAAATTTAAATATGTAATGCGAAAAGTATACAAATATGCAGCACAATTAGAATTACTAACCTCCTCATTTACAGTATCGTCTGCGAACCACTTGAAAATGGACTGATAAAATTTACGTCGAACTGTTTTGTATGCAGTTGAGAGTTTTAGCTCTTGCGGGGTCCCCATTTCATAGAAGAATACAATCAGTGCAGAGGCGGATCTGGTTATCTTGTTTCACCGTTCCTGTAGTACTGCGATGGTGCACTTCTCTGAGAGTATGGAAGTATGTTTATCGAAACAACCAGAGCATCATACTGAACGCTATCTATTTAGTGGGGTATGCTTTTGTCGATTCATAAATCTACTTCCGTAATGTAACTCGAATTAAACTATCGATCTATACGATCTATACGGAAGTCAAAAGAACATTTTCAGTGTCAGGTCATTGCACAAGGTAAACATTGAAATATGTCTACTAACTTAAGTAAAATAAATACATTAGGCATATGTGTACGTGAATTTATACAAAGTTGTGTGTGTCTGCGGGAGCCCGGATATTGCAGTCGGTATAGCGACTGGCAATGGGCTAGAAGACCGAGATGTAAGAGTTCGAGTCCCGATACGGTCAGGAATTTTCTTTTCTCCAAGTGGTCCAGACCGGATCTGGGGCCCACCCAGACTCCTATCCAATGGGGGCCAGGGTCTCTTTCACCGGAGAGAAAGTTCTTCTTCCTCTGGGTTCCCGAACTATCCCCATGTCTCAGCTACCAGCTTCTAACAGCAACAGCTCACAAGGACTGAACCACAACAATACTCCAACTCACTCACTCGTTCTTCCATTGTTGCGTGCGTGTCTGTTGCGGCCATTATCTAGAGCCATTACTTAGCAACGACTATTTCATTGCTGTTTATTTCGCGGTCATTGCCTCGCAAAGGGTCTACATGCCACTATATATCTTTAAAAGGGCAATTAATTATATATTGTGGTGTTTACTGTACTCATGGAAAAACATACAGTGTGAGTGTACTAATGACTTTAAAGGAAATTCTTGGTACTACGACACATTTCTAAAATAAATTCGAATTCAGTGACACGTTCGGTTAGTTCATTAGTTTGCAAACACTTATGTGTTTCATTAAATAAACACCAAATGACATAATGTTTCATACAAAGTCATTCGTAATAGTCATTTTATTCCATGTTATGCACTGTTACTATTTTGTATGACGAGAACTTTTTAATAAAAATGATCAAGGTTGATTTGAGCTTCCTGTAAAGAAAGCGATATACATATCTATAGATCAAATCTAAATTTGCTCGATAAATTTTGCTAGAAAGATCAATATAAAATTATATGTCGAGTTCTTGCAGAGATGAAGCATATGAATGGATAGGCCGCGCCATAGCTCAAGCGGTTAGTCACTGGCTTCCCAACGCGGCGGCCAGGGTTCGATCCCGGGTCTGGTCAAGTGGGATTTGTGGTGGACAAAGTGGCGCTGGGGCAGGTTTTCTCCGAGTACTTTGGTTTCCCCTGTCAATCTTCATTCCACCAATTGCTCCATCATCATAATCACCCGGGGCAGGCTACAATAGGCCAAACAGTGGCCGCCGTGCCGAATGGACCCAGTTGAAGTCCACCCCCCACTAAGCGAATTAAAAAAAATGAATGTATGTATTCATTACGCGTTAATTTTAAGTACATTTTGCTGGGAGATAATATTAATTCAATTCAATTCTTTATTATGTATGTGCCGAGTCAACAGCCACAAGGCCAATTAGAGAGAGAGCACAGTGTAGATACAAGTGATTACATTACGGACAATCACAACATAAAGTCAAAAACAATTTATAGATAAGTACTGGAGGAAAAACACATTAATGAAGACAAGTAAACAAATAATAATAATAATAATAATAATTCAATTCAATTCAATTCAATTCTTTATTATTTATGTGCTGAGCCAACAGCCGCAAGGCCAATTATAGACTCAGCACAGTGTATGATAGAAGTAGTTACATTCTGGACAAACACAATATAAAGTCAAACAATGATTAAAGGTTAATGTTGGAGGAAAACAAATTAATACATATAAATAACATACATAATAATAATAATTCAATTCAATTAATTCAATTCAATTCATAATTATTAACGTGCCGAGTCAACAGCCGCAAGGCCAATTTCAGACACAGCACAGTGCAGAAAAATGAATTACATTCTAGAAAAACTTATTAAATTACCATACAAATTACAAGTAAGTACTGAGAAGAAATAATAATGAATAAAAGTAAAATTATAAGCAAACAAACAAATAGCTGATATGGACTGAAACAGAAATATTTAATCAAAATACTAACAGTTATATTATATTTAAAATTTGTTTGGGTTGAACATTCCTGGCTCCGAATACGTCAACATCCCTGCAGACAACATTAGCAGCTGCTGCGCATCTAGCAGAGGGACAATTTTTAAATATGGAGCAAACATTGAACAATGCAAAGTCTCTGATATACCGAGCAGGATCTCGGAGACCAACAGTTTCCAGAATAGAAGGGCAGAATTTAGAGCCAGAGTAAGATTGAGTAAGAAATTCAATTCAATTCAGTTCTTTATTATTTATGTGCCGAGTCAACAGCCGCAAGGCCAATTACAGACAGCACAGTGTAGATTCAAGTAATTATGGACAATTACAACATAAAGTCAAAGACAAATTACAGGCAAGCACTGAAGTAAAACCACATTAATGCAGGCAAGTAAACAAATAATAATAAAATTTCATTAACATAATAATAATAATAGTTACATTATTACTACTACTACTACTACTACTACTGTTATTATGCAGCTGGAAGGGAGATCAGCTATCTCTGATTTAGAATACTCTAATGAAGAAAGAGTTACACACGATTCGGAATACAGTGAGTACATTCGGTGCACGTTACACCTGCATCTCAAGAGATAGTAATAATGTGAGTATCCTGATGTGGGTTGTGATAGACTTGAGATAATTCCCTGGACTTTGTATTGTTGAAGAAAGACCGTCTGTAACTTCCATTGCGGATGTGTGGGCATATTCTATTTTCAGTCTTCGCAGTTACGTAAACTAGGGCAACGAATCATTCCTGGCGCTCAAACTAAGAAGGAGATGTCACTTCTCATTCCGGTTCTATCGTCTACAATAAATTGACAACCAAGTTCTAATGGGAAGTTGGATGGTTTGTTTTCAGATTCAAAATCCGAAATTTGAGATAATTTTAAATTATCGTTTACGAAAATGTGCTCATGGAAGATTTGGTAGATTTTGATGTGATTTGCAGGTTGTTAAATAAATTAATTAGCAATCTGAACGGCGTAATCAGTAGCAAAACACGTTACAATATATTGTACACGTTACAATATTATAGCTTCTGGTCCACTCTTAACTGACGTTTAATTCTTTCGTAACTTATAGTAGTTACTTGTATTTTCATTGTAATTATTCTCAGTTACAGGTAATTAAAATTTACTATTTTACGAAAATATAAATTGCATTGTCGTTAACAAATTCAATGAAATTTGATTTTATGGTTAGATCTTTAAATTGTTACATGCAGTGCTTGAATTCACATTTAACTTTTGCATATACCCCACTCAGAATAACGTCGGTTTTCGCATAATGCTTGGAGAAAACAACGATTATTTCCCTAAATAATCTTAACAGGATGATCTCTGTAATGAAGACAGTGTGTTATTTATGATGTAGGAAATTAATTTTTAAACATTACTGAGATGAGGGCTTTTGGCTAGAAGTCAGCATGCTTCTGGAAGGTCCTGCGACCGGACATCTCGACGCAAGAGGTTTTGGTTTTCCTCTGTCTCTAAACAAATGCTAAGTTGGTTATCAAATTCCAAGTTGCTACTGCGTGTTTTTCATGCAGACTTTCCGACTTCAATTCATCAAAATTAAGCTCCCTTGCTGTCAAAACCACTAAATGATTTTTCCAAATTTTTCCAAATTAGGTGTCAAAGAGTCGAGTTGTTTGTAGCAACACAAAGAATACGACAGTGAATCTGCAATTTTGCACGTGACCGTAATATTTTTGGCGCATACGCAGTTGAGTCTCCGGGTAAATATAAATACGCTGAGTTCTATGTAAGGATATAATTTATTTTTTATTTAACTATTGTGGTAGCCCATATTATATAGCGTCGAACGGTAGATTTATTAGTGAATAATTAATTGGAAAAGCTGCAGAAGGTAGTGGTCATGACCTAATTTGAAGCACTATCCCTGGTATTTTCCTGGAGGGACTGAGTAATATCACGACAAACCTAATTTAGTATAGTCGATGCCCCATCCCGAAAATCGAATGACGAATCTTCTGAAGCTAAAGGACATTAAACAGCCTTTGTATAGAATTCTGTGATCAATTGCAGCAACAATTTCCAGTGTTTTTACGGTTCTTTCATTGCTTTATAGCTGGTCACAATGCCTTCTTCGGCATCACTTCTGCGTCGTCACTTGTAAGGGTCTGCTACGGACACTTCAGTTCATTTTCTTATTAACTTCGCATACAGTATGTCACCATAGACCTCACAGCAAAACTGATAGAAAGCAATAGAATTATATGCCTCTGATAAAATATTAGAATATACCTAGGGTTAACTTTAATTTAAAATTTATTAACAGTTTAATGGGCGTGAATCGTTGAAAATTTCGAACTTCCGTACAATTTTTTTCGGAAATTTAATGTTCCGGCGCGTTCTTGTAAGGAGCATGGAGATAATAGCAAGTCTAGGGTGGCAGTTAGCCGATTCGGATTGGTAGTTTAATATCGTGGCCTTATCCAACTACGTAACTGGAAGAATTAAACGAAACGAATATTCGGAATAAGAGCCCTCGGAGCTCGAACTCGAGTTTTCCAAATACGAAGTACAGAAATTAGAGGGTATAAGGGAAGATCAAATGTTCATATAGTTAATGGTGAGCCATTCAATTGTCTAAGGAACTTTGGGTGTATGTGTGCTGCGCAAAATACACGTACGTTTATCCGGTTCCTGTGATTTAATCACGGACGGGTGGCTCGGTACTATTCCTATGTTAGTCTTGAGATGGTGGTAATAATGCACACTGTCGATCTGGCTTCGTGCCATAGGATTTCTCATTTGTCAACAGGATGAGCGCCTGCCGAGGAGGCATGTCATCCGCTCAGCTCTTTAAGCGGAAAAGCTTTGCTGTATATTTTGACCAAGAGAGAGTAGGTCAGAAAGCTCAACATTTCTCAAGTCTTTCCAACTATATAGCTGGAAGTGTTATA